TTATATGCGAGATGAAAATGCTCCTCGGCGCGGCATTTAATGGCAGTGTCCGCGATTAGTGTGGATAAGTGAGGTTCTCCCAGTAATTTGAAGTAATTAAAAACAGTCGGTGCGCATTTTAAATCCTCACAGAAGGGTGGGGGGTTAATGCAAGTCATGTAGCATCGCTTTATGGGTGGTGCGCCAAGTCAGCTAGTATGGTCAAATAACTAATATATGGTCGATTTTATTGTTTATCCTATTGTTATGGGTGAGAAAACGTGCAGTGTGAATTAAATTTCAGCTTTAAACACACTCAAACCATGGGACCGCAACCCTAATAGAAATCTAAAATGTTCACAGCACACATATTTGCATAATTGCAACAAAAGAGCAGTAAAAACATGTGAATCTCTGGAAAACAAGGCTCGTCATGAGTCGAAAGCTTTGTTAGCACAAAGTGATAACGTCCACATTTTTCCTACATGTTCTTCCGGAACATCCCACTTTACAGTCAACCATCTTTGGGTAGCAGTGCAAGTATGGCACGCTATACTGGGACCGATCTCTGCCACAAAGAGCAAAAAATAAATAAATCGCGAGTTGCAGTCATGAGTACAGTGATTTAAATACAAAAACCTCCACTTTTCCTATTAGCGGTGTTGGGTGTCCTAAATTAGATCTGAAAAGCACAGAACACAAGTGAACTAATCACGTGTTACCGCATTATGTTTGTGCAAGTGTTTCTGTCAATTATAATTCAACAGAACCAGGCTCCATTACTCTGCTGGTCGCATCGCAACAGCTGATTTTTACTCAAAGGCACTAATCAAAATATGTCAGAGGAAAATCAAAACGACTCAAAATATTGAACTCCATCCGCAAACGTGTTCAGAATGGAAGTGAGTTGCCTGTGTAACATTGATCAGCCAATTCTGGTGCAAAATAGCTTATTATTACATTATTATGTACATCAAATAAATACAGTATTGACATGCATGGTCAATTAAGGAGTTTTGGAGTAACCAGCAAACACTAAATGGATGCACACAGGGTCGAAACACGGGTGATGTATGGAATGTGAAAAGACCCACCAAACAAAGCACTAAACAGCAATGTTATGTGCGCTCTAATACAATAAAAAGAAATGAATTTATATTCATTTGGTTTGGCACTGCAGTCATCCAAGAGGCATTTGTGCTCACCAAATGGCAGCTATGCTTGGTGATTCTCCCCTGAAGTGCCAGCTTGCCTTTGAAAAGACTTTTTTTTTTTCACTAAGAAAATCCTATTCTAATATCGGACGATCACGTTGCAATCGCAACTGAAGACGGCTTCTTTGTGGCTTGCTGTTCGTGTTCTAATTTTAGCCCCCCAAGGAAGAAAAAGGGTCCCATTTGTCACCTGATGTCGGGAGAAGGCGACGTTAATAATGGAAACAAGCTGCCAAAATGAGTTTCCTGCGTACACTGATTTGAGTTAGCCTGCAGCGACGAGGAGCTAACTGCCCGAGGGAGTTGGTGGGGTGACTGTCAAGCCACCTCGCACAACTGGTGACAGCTACAATTAAAAGACATGCAGTACATTATAAATGAGTGAGGCCATCATTGAGATGGAGTAACTCCATTAAAACTTCTTGGGGTCCACGAGAGAGAAATCATTTGATAGACTCAAAAGTTCTACCTGAACAAAAATGTGGTTTTCAAAATGGCAGACTTCCTGTTATACCTTATTCAGATGTGAATACGGTATTGGGGGCTGAATTTTCTTACTTCTTAAATCAACTTAGTAGAGCTTTGTCTTTTATAGATTGTCATCAAACTTCATTATACAAATTTGATCGAAATCTCGAGGACCTCATCTTTGCGGGACCCCAGGTGATGAGACAAACGTGTCTGCTCAAGCATGGCTTCATGAGACTAATGTGAATCTGGCTTTGGAGGCTCAATTTTCCCAAACAGTACGGCAGGCGCTACTGAGTCAACATTCAGAGGAGCATGTCCACAATCGCAAACAAACTTCATCAGGCTGAACACCTGCAAAATTTTGGTTTGTATTTTGGGTTTTTGTTTTCCTCTGAAAGAATCGTGTCGCATGGATGCATGTACGATTGTCGTGACCACCATAAATCCTGCACAAATTGCTGGGTTGAATTGAAAAATAATCTCTTAAAGCCTCTTGGTCTGTCTATTGGAGATTGAAGGTCATCTAAGCACACAAACTCACTACAAGGTTGAACTTGTTGCTTTGGTCAAGTATACCATTTCCTTGTATGTCATGGAAAATACAAAGACTAGGGTTAACATGTATATATATATGTGTGTGTGTGTGTGTGTGTGTGTGTGTGTGTATATTATATATACATACACATACAGTATTTTTTTAAATGAAAATACAAATCCAAACAGTGACATTATCTTTAACATTGCTTTGTATTCTGTAAAAAAAAAAAAAAAAAGAAAAGATGTCCCCCTACTAAGCCATTTCCTGGAGGCCTGCTGTCCTTTTTGTCCTTAAAAGAAATCAAATCGAGGCCCATCCTTTCATGCAGTAACTACTCTGGCCTAATATAAAAGGAAGTGTGGGGTGTTTATTATGACTTTAAATATCCCATCAAGGCCTGGCGATGGATTGACATTGGCAACGGGGAGGGGAGAAGCCCGTTTAATGTGATGTAAGATGCGCAGCGGGGAGGGTGGTGAGTCGCAGCGGTATTCCAGCCACTAGAGAGCAAGCCTTGGTGGCTGTTGCCTTGGGCAGGCTATTGACTGATGCAGAGGACACATTATGCAGAGACGGCATTATTATTCTCTTTTGCAAACACTGTCAATGCTTGTGTAAGGAATGGTTCTCGTCAACCTTCCATGATGGTAATTAAAAAAAAGACAGTCACATCTCAACTCATGAAACCTATCTCATGTGGCAATAGTGACAGGGACTAAAGGGGGCGATGTGAGCAAGCAAACAATCCAGACCAAATAAGGAAAGCGAGAGCGGCATTTCATTATAAATGAAAGGATGGCACTTGCAATGAACTTGATCCTTGTGGTGATGCACCATACATGAACCCTGAGCTGGGGCCTCGCTAATGGTCCTGGAGGGCAGGGAGGATGGGGAGGGCGTTTCAACACTTGTGAGTGAGCTAGTGGCCAGCAGTAGTGGGAGGACCGCAAACATATTCCGTCCATTCAAGGTCATCCCACTCATCTATCCATAGCAACCAGGTTTGTCCAGCTACCACGAGTGTTTAACACACCCGCTCCGCAAATATATACTTAGCTTTCAAAAAAGTGTTTGTGTAAATATTGAGTAGCCCTCATCATCCCTGCTCTCGCCGCTTGTTACATTGGAATGGCACAGGCTTGGCGAAATGGGAGCAATTGATCAAAAAAAAAAAAAAAAAAAAAGATTAAAAAAGGGAAAAAAAACAAAAACAAAAAAAACCCCATCGCATGTCAGATGCCAAGACTTTTTTTTTTTTTTTAAGTAGACAGATATGTCTACCAAATTCGCACTGCTGGGGCTCGGCGCTATCACTGAAATGTATATCACAATATAAATATCTCATAGCAGTCAATATTGATTATAATGTAATTGTTTTATCTATTTAAACATTGAAATGTAATTTGCAAAGTTGCTCCTCCACCAGTGTATTGTAAATGCCTGTTTACATTAGATGCTACCCCAAAGCAGTATCATTGAGAGTTACTGCATTCAATGTTCATACAATTCGAGTGTAGTGAACTAATACTCTCTTGCGGTGCATGCATAAGCATTGACCAACCGTCATAGGAATACGTGTTTCTTAGTCCCGTAGAACTGCCTTTAGCGGGGGAATTTTCAAACTCAATTAATAGCGCTGACAAAATCTCAAAGCATGGGGAAATAAAGTGAGACTCTTAATTTCACGAACATTGCTAAATTTTACCTGCTGCCCTTTTAAACCCGTCATGTCATTAGGCACAATCACTGATCAATTAGCCTAATAGCTGCCCCACTGAGGAGTTCCAGGTGAGAACAGGATGCCGATGTCACAAATTAATCACTCGACTTAGCCTAATTAATTGACGCTTCCAACAGACGGTTTTAGTAATGAGTCGCAACAAGCTTCTGAATTAACTTTGTCATATGATACTGACTGTCCATGTAAGACTCGGCAATATTGTGTCATTTTCTTGTACGTCCATCCCATCATTAACAAAAATAAATATTGAGTGCGACTGCACCTGGCTTGAGTTACAGGAGCAGAGAGAGTAGTTAGTCAACAGGGGCTCAGTAGGGGTGCTGCTGATGGAAAGCAAGCACCACCCTGTGTTGGGTCGAGGGACTACTGATGAAACGTGGCATTCTGTCATTCCATCGGCTACTTTAAGAGGCTTGCAAGCATTTTGCGATGATACATGGGAGCGATTGATGTGACATCCCCATTAGTTTGCCTCACACCTGCCGTTTGCCACAGGTGGTCATGTAATGGCCTTGCGGTGCAGTCATGTTCCGAGTGGTTAAGAGAGGGGAGGACCCCCGCTAATGAGGCTGCTCGCTTCCGTCGACTCCCCACAGTGTGTTGTGTTGTGTGTGTCATATAGATCTGGTGTACTGTAATAATGTGACGCTGCTGTTAAGACACACACACAAGGAAGGACATTTTTCCCCACATTTGCGATAGCTGAATAAAATTTTTAACGGTTCGGAAAAAAAAATGTCAGCGAAGAATGAGAATCATGTATATAGTTGTGCTTTTTAATTTTGTTGGTATTTCATTTTTTTTTTTTTGCTTCAAATAATTTTTGGTGATGATTTATTGCATTGTGTTTGCATGGCTTTATTGATGTTTAAATGTACAGCAGATAACTTGTCCATACGGATGCATGAAAAAATGGTTTTAAAAATCAGATCTGCAATTTCACTTACCTTTGCGTCACTCATTCAAGTTCCAACAATCATCGCCGCTCTTATTTTGACACTTGACATTGGGCAGACCATCAAAATTATTTCTGAGTGTATTTTCTTGTGGTACTCACTGGGGGTGCATGGTTTATTCTCAGTGGCCTCGCCCTGAGTGTTGGCCTTGCTCTGGTGTTCTGTGGCAAGGAGACTCCTCAAGGTTCCGGGAGCACTCGGAGGAGTTGCTGCTGCTCTTGATGGTGATGCTGTTGTTGATGCCGATACTGCTACCACTGGTGGTGGTGGTGCTGCTGCAGGCTGAGCTGGCGTCTGCTGGTCTGCAGATCACAACAGAAGATTAGGTTAGGAAGTACGCTAAAGGCATATATTGGTCTTTAATGCAGAGGAGTGGCATTACATTAGTATCAATCACTAGAGGAAAATGGGAAGAAGAGACTTTAACCAAACTGACCTCGAAATGGCAGCTTCGAATCAAAATGGCAGAAATCCTGTGCATCTCCTGTCACAGGTTCATGAGGCTTTTTCGTGCGTCCTGTCTTGATAAACAAGTCCACCAAATTCTGTGTCGCTAGAGGACTTACTTATTGTTTCTTATTTAGTTTTGTGCAAATGCGTGAGGATTACAGCAGTCATATTTTAATCTCCACAATTTTCGGGAATTCATTTATCGAACTCAATTTACGGTAGTCTCATTTTAACTCATGCAGCTGTTTGTTTTTAGCCCACACATCTTTTCAGATGTTAACAGTACCGTTCCTTAAAACGGTGGAATATTTGGGGGATTTTTGGGAGCAATATTGTCAATGCTGCAAGTTTTTTTCTTTTTCCTCTCTTTTTTTTTTTTTACCAATGGTCTGCTTTTTGAATTGCCCCCAGAACAGCAGCGTCAAGGTTAACATCCAAACCTCGTGGTATCTAATGAGCGTCAACCTGGGACTTCGAATTCACGCTGACAGCGTGAGTGTGACATGACATTAAAAACTGAGGTGGAGTCAGTCCACTGAAGCCTTCTGAATCACATTTTCACTTCTTAATTTGATCACCTCTCATTCACTTTCATAAGTAAGACAAGTCCCCAGACATGCCGCCAGGAGTTTGCTATAGCTTGAGTGTCATGGAGACGGTCGACTAATTGATAGCTTTATAAGAAGAACTTGACTAAATGATAAAATATTTAACAGCGCTACATTCCTTTACTTCAGAGGCTGATCTCTGGCTCGTGCAACATTCATGGCGCATCATGTGCTGTTAAGTTCACAAAAAGGGTAGAATCAAACAAGTACAGACCTACGGTCAGATGCGCTAGTAGTCAATAAAACGTCAAGGGTATGTGCTTGCAATTGCACAATATAGAGGTCCATTTAAGGAAAACCTCTGAAGGCCAAGGTCGAGAATATCAAGGCTGTATATACAATGCTCACTGGGCTCTGCAGCCTCCCAGTTCAGGAACTTGCTCCCATCGCAATGACCCCAAGAGTTACTGATTAAAATAAGGCTAATGTACTTGCATGAAAGATGTACAGGTTAAAAAATAAGACGATCGTAAATGGTGCGGACCAACTATATTTACTAGGTGCACACCTGTGTAATAAAGAGTCAACAAAGAAGAAAAAGGCAGAGGTCCTAGTGTTGACGCTCACTTGCACATCCTGAAGACGTTTTAAAAGTTTAAACATATTCACTTTGTGACTAACATATAGACACAATTTGAAGCGCGCGCCACGTGTTATATCTCGCTTTACTTTAAGCGAGCCAGCTCATCAGCCAATTCCTACAGGGGCGATCGTCCACAGGAATATTTGCATACGATTACACGCCTCATCGCTATAATATTTGACGGTATCCATAAAAGACTTCTTCGCATGTATCATTTAACATCTATTTGATCACGCCTACTCCGAACCAAATCTGCTGTCCAAGCAGAAATTCAGTGGCGGCCTTGCAGCCATGTGCACCGGAAGAACTAGCTTGGCACATCTATCTTCTGGAAGAACGTGAGCACTCTGACTACTTTCTGGGTGCGCTGTATGTCAAGACGGCCCAGGGATTCAATAACATTCAATAACAGAAAAAGTAAAAACTTCAAGTTTCTCACCCTTCTTCCTACGTGCCTCTTTGATGTCCTCGCACATGCGATCAAACTCCGGGTCGAGCTCAGAGGCAAAGATGGCATGCGCCGTGTCCTTGAGGCTGCACGCTCGGTGCCTGATCACCTTGTCTGGGGAAACAGCGAAAAACATGCGTCTTCACATTTTGTGCACTAATCCAATTGATGAAGCCATGAAATGTTAGGAAAGGCCATAAATCCATTGCAGTCCCACATTAATCATATGAAATAAATCCAAGGAAGTTTAAAAAAAGTACTTTGTATCTTTATTTCTTGCTTCATTTCAATGGACACTGTGTTGCTCCTTCCAGAGTGGGAGTAGAATACATATATACATAACACAAGTTTGGTTTGGATGCTTCTTCGTTGGTTCAACTGCTTCTGCATGTTTGGAAGCGGCTGCATGCTGCCTCCATCACGCACAATGTCACGGTCAGGATTTGCTTTCTGATTTTTTTTTCATTCAAACATTTAATCTATGGTATTTTCTATCGAGCACGTGTCTTTACTGATAAATCTTGAAAGTGAATTATTCCCCAGCCCTAGTATAAGTAAATTTGGTAATGAAACACTATGGAAACGAAAACGCAGTAATATTAAGTCACGAATATGCAGGGGGAACTCTATGTACTTCGATGACACCATTAACTCCTTTTGTATTTAACACTGACCTTTAGCTACATCACGTGCCATCTTAACGAGCATCAGAACATGTACAAAAAGAGCATATGTAAATTTGTCAATAGTGAACCGCGAACATGTGGGAATTTAATGTGTCTGAGGAAAAAACACAATTATTTGACTTTCTGTTTTTGGGGCTAAAAAAGTAACGTGTTCTCCAGCACACCATGTCTCTGTGATGTCCCCGGGCATCATTAATCCCCCATTTTGTGTGACTGAAGGGGCGTGCTGAAGAGTGAGACTAAAAGCGTATCCACTGTAAACAGGCTGCCTCTCATTACAGGCAGGGGAAGGTAGGGAGCGGCGGCGGAGGGGTCGCAATCTGCCAGCATTTGTCTAATTGGACGACGGCTGCGTAATGGTTATGGAGGGTGTGTGTGTGTGTGTGTGTGTGTGTGTGTGTGTGTGTGTGTGTGTGTGTGTGTGTGTGTGTGTGTGCGTGTGAGACAACGCATGTGTGTGCAAGCATGTGTATGCGCACATCACCAAAAAAATAAATAAAATGAAAGAAAAAAAAAAAGGCCTTTCAGAGGCTTCTAATGACAGCTGGCCTGCTGGGACCGCATCTGCTTCAAGTCTCTTTCTATGACTACTTACCAGCATTTCTACTTTGCTTGATAGTGAAAACGCTTCTTCATGTTGATTTGTTTGTGACATATTCTACTTCAATTGGGCAATCCCCATAAAAATTATGAAGAACCTTGAGCTCAAACATCTCTGCTCCTTAATCGTGGATATGTTCAAAAATAAGATTATTTATGAGCTGATCATTTGAATCCTGGACGGTGGAGAGGGGGAGACATCTAAACATTGTAGATAGGTGCTCTCCAGGACCAGAGTTGGTGACCACTGCTTCACAAGATGTATTCAGAAATTAAAGGGAGGAGAGTGCACGCTGCCTTTTCAAACACACCCTCTCAGAGGTTGGGGCATCAGAGTGTATTTCTGAACTCAGCCCATGTTGACGGCGGCAGGCAAGTTCTGGTTGGACGAAACTTCGGCTTATAATCACTGAAAAGTTCTTATTTTGTAGCTTAAAATGGCTTACCCTACGCTACCTTTATGGGATAAACGAAGGACTACTGCACAACTATACCCACTATGGTTTAAAAAAACAATACTTGCTGCACCCACAAGAGTAGGAAAGTATATCAGTCAGCCAAGCATAGTTGTTGGAGGTACACATATGAGCGTCATTTTTTTCATTTTGACAAAGGGGAAACAGGCCATCAATGAGCTGACAACTTCTCATTAAAACTGGAGGCTTCATTGTGCCACGACTAGGCCATAGTTCACAGGATAAAGGCTTGGTTCATCGTCTTTGTGTGTGACGGCACAATATAATTTATTCATTTAGCCTGGCAGAAAAATGCTTCCCATTAAGCATTGCGGGAGAAGCGAGAATTAAAATAGTTACTTGGGCTGTACGCTGCATTCAATTCATATTCTGTTCCGCGACTGTCACTAATGTTCTCTCTCAGCCTGCGTGGACATTTTTCACCAGCGTACACAAAATACAGATGAATGTGTTAGCAAACAACAGGCCTCTTTCAATGTCTGTGCACACATTTGTCTTCTGTGATGTTCCGTGCGCTCAAGACGAAAAGAAAGGGGGGGAATCAATTCGAGCTGTGAGACAAGAGACAAGATTAAATTTTCATGCATATGCAAGCCTTCCACATTTTGTACATGGGAAGCGGGGAAGTGACTTTTTTCATTGGAATTTCCGACATGAACAAAAAGGCGCTAGGAGCTTTTGTAATTAGCGTGCCTGTAGGCTCACTTAATAAATCATTAGATTTTTTTTAAATCCTTTTTTTGGTTTAATCGTTTAATCACTAATGGAGAGCAACATAACTTCAAAAAGAACCCATCGGACTGATTAAGGGAAGCCGCATGTGTTTCACAGTTGTCAATAACCAATCTAGCACCTTTTTTTTAACTGATTCAACGGTACTATTAAAAAGATTTTGTAACATGTATGCAAGTATGTACTTTGTCTTACCGCCAGGATCCTTGTCAGGATTATACTCTAGCGCATTGCTGCAGATAAGGTCGATGTCCACCAGAAAGTCTTTGGCCGTCAAGTACTGGTGCTTATCAATCTTGGTCATGACGGTCGATAGGTCCATGGGCTGTCCAATCACCTCCAAGTAGTCCGACACCTAACAGATGTGCAATTTAATTGTGAAAAAAAAAAACAGAATAAAAATCCTGAATTTTTGTTCCTCACCTCTTCAATATCGACGGGCTTACTGAAGATATTGAAGCGTTTGTCGGTAGCCAGCCGCTTGGTGACATCCCTGAGAAAGAGTCGGAGCTCCCGTAGCGTGTTTTCCTCCTGCTCAGCCAAGCGACGCTGCTCCTCAGCAGACAGTACTCTGGGGCCCGGGGCTTCAGCCACCGGCAGCACCTCTTCACAGTGCTCTACTAGGGACAAAAGGTTACAATGGAAAACATCTCTTTCGACAGTAAAGCTAGATTCAAAGACTGTTTTGAAAAGGAAAAATACATCACATATGGATGGTGTGTCATCTTCAGAGACTTTTCACTTGACTCAAATGAGGCAGGTGTAAGCAGTGCCCCACAGACCTTTGGCCTGCAGTGTAAACCAATCCTTAAAATTTGGAACTTGAGTGACTTAAGAGGCTTATTTTTTTGAGGAATTCCACGCCATAAATACTAAACCTTTAGCACGTTAGCTCGTTTGTGTTTTAATGTAGGCTGTTTAAAACTCATGTTTGGTAGTTCTATACTCAATGGGTGTCAAACTCAATCGCAGAGGGGACCAAAGCACAAAACACTTTAGATCGCAGGCTGAACGGGATAATCTGCATCGTTCGACACATACTGTTTGTAACATACATATAATATGTTCTCATGTCAGGTGACGAACCTTGTCCCACTACCTACATGTGGGTATTTTACATTCTCACAAATCAATGTTACATGCAAAGATTCACCACCTAATCTTAATCTTCCACTCAAAAGCTGTGCTTATGTTAAATCTAAAGCAATGCAGCATTGCCATCAGATCTGAAACCTACATTTTAGAGACAACCACAGAGGAGAGAGACCCTCCTCCACACTTACCCATTCAAAAAAGTACTGGACAAATACATAGGTTGGCGGCAGTTAACAGTTAGATTCTAGTAGACAAATAAAATAATGCATCAGATTTATATGGTGCTTTTTCTGGACAACCGGACACGCAAGCCGCTCACATTGGACACATGATTTATGCACTCATGCATTCACACCCTGGTGACAGTAAACTAGTTTCTGTAGCCAGAGCTTCCCTGGGGCAGGCTGACGGAAGTGTCGCAGTGTGCGCCTACGGCGCCTCCGAACACCATCAAACATTCACACCCAGCCATACACCAATGTGAGTGACACTGGAGGCAAGGTGGGTGAAGTGTCTTGCCCAAACACACGACAGTTAAAAATGTGAATTCATAGTTTTTTTTTTTTCTCATGAAGATGACTTCTTTTTTAATCATACAATTTCATTAGTATTTAATATTTTCATGTATTTAACATGCATACAGACACTTTTTTCCCCACCTCATGGTCGATTGACCAGATTCATCAATCAGTTATAAAACTCAAATATGGCCCGAGAGCACAGAGGTTCGCACACCCCTGCTCTGAATAAATGATGTTGAAGTATAGAGTGATTAAGCGAAGTAAGGAAAAGCCAATGTCCGCTGCCCAGGCTCCATTTGTAGGCAGATGAGACATGCTTAGGAAGCCCCAGCGGCTTCTCACCTCTCTTCCATCCATGACTCTAATTAGGGATAATAGCTGCGGCACTCGGAAGCCGCTTCCCTTCCTGCTGATTTTTTTTTTTTCCTGCTCCGAGTCGGACCCCCTAAGACTGGAGCAGCCTTGCATCAATGAGGTGGACGGGGGATCCCATATTACACTTAAATGAAAGAGCAGGGCAATGGCAAAGGACATGGGGGGGACGCCGCAGGGAGGTGGGAAGGTAATTTTAACCCAGGAAAGATTTACATTTGTGCGTATCTCCCTGACACGTAATACACCTCGCAGGCCAAATATTTAGCTGAAACGTATGCAAACAGAATATGAATGAAGCCTAAACATACATATTTGGCTCAATGTGTGCTTCTCTGCTTGGAGCTTCAGGTACATATTTTCAGTTTGAGGAGGCAAAGAAACACATGCAGACCAACACTGCCCTCTGGAGCCGATGTCCATAGCGTCTTAATTTCCTGTGGGTGTCAGGGGCCAGCGTTCAAATACTTTTGTCGACCTCCAGGGCTGCCAAAGCAGTGGTAAACTGAATTTTCAGGGAAAATATCCCTCTTTGCATAAAACTCCAGTTTGAACAACCTCTGATCCGCAAGCATTAGAAGGATGTCAGGAAGTTCTGGGCAACATGCCTGTACATCTAATAAATGTTTTTTGACAGCAAGAGATTGATTGCCATAGAATTTACTGTATATTAGGATGATTTCAAATGGGAATAATTGCTAATACAAATTGAACAACTGTACCAATATGTGTGTCCATGTACCTGTATTCCTGAGGCGTGGTGGAGCTCTGGCCGCTTGGACCAGCAGCAGGTCAGAGAAGAAGCTCCTCCGGTCTCCTTCGCCCGGAGGGTGCAGCGTGACCACCTCCCCGTAGGCCTTCTGGAACATACTCCTGACCTAATTAAAAAAAAAAAAAAAAAAAAAGTCACTCATTTTTAAAGACAACACAATTCAAACAGTTACATTACAATTGGTCGCTGCTGTGCTTGGGAGTTGAGGGCTGCACCCTCTGGAAAGCTTTTTTGCTGACAGAGCCGTTTCTTCCTCTTTCGTTTTCTCATCAATCCTTTCTCTTATCTCTTGACGCGTTTGAATGGCCTCTCTGTCTTTCTGGAATCTTTCCTCGGACGAGAGTGGGTAATCATTTTTAAAAACGGCAGAGAAATGGGGGTAAATTTGAGGGGAATGATGTAGCTCAGCAGAGGAAAGTGAGTGATGATGCTGACTATTGCTCATAGTGATAAAGTCTACAGGGTGCGGACGCGCGGAGGTGGTGAATAATACATGACTGTTGTAATTTAACACCTGTTCTACTGGCGTGACACCAGTGATATCTGGATTAATACAGAGCGTAAGAATCTGAAAGTCATCATGAGTAATGCTGGACTATTGTACTTTCAGAATGGCGGAGACTCAGCAAAGGAGGTTGCATTCCGTTTATAGAAAAAAAAAAATTGGATGGAGGGTCAGGGAGTGAGATACTTCTGAATTGGATTGGATTCCGCAAATGGAGTATGATAAAGACACAGTGGTAATCCTACAAAATGCTGTCTGATGGATTATCCGCAAAAATAAAGGAGGAGGAGATAATCTTCTGCACGGTTCGCATTGGGATCCGACAAAATTGTGGAATCAGCGTCGTAATGTAAAATCGGCTCTGACTGTGGCTATCACAGACATCCCACAAAATGGCCGCATCAGAGTTTTAACAGAAGAGCGGGTGCATGTCCGACCGTGCCTTTCATGCAACCCAAGGGTCAACTAGACTCACTTCATAACAAGCAGCACGTTGGCAAATAGTGAACAATTCTTCTTCTTCGTCCACTGCCTTAATGGCAACCGAATGCATGTTGCTGTGCTGTCACCCTATAATCCACAGATTGGACACAAAACAGTGCAGCAACACATCTAGACAGACAATAAAACAGCACTCACCGTGAAAGTACGCTTATGCTCTAAGAATTACAAATATTTGATGAGCTGGAGCCTTCTCGATGAAAAGTATATTCTTCAGTTTGTTTTATATTGCCTCCAGGTGGCAAAGGCCCACATACTAAAAACACCAGCACAATGACCATTCAATTGACGCAGTGACAAAAACGTTTCAATTAAAATCTGTCATACCTTTTTTTCATAATGTGCGATACTATGAAGTGCTATTTTTCCTTATGAAAGGCCGGAACGGATTGTTAGCATTTCATTTGATTACAAATACAAGAGTTTTGCGTTACGAGGGTCGTCACAACAATTTAAAGGCATCTCAAGGAAGGCACCACTGTAGTATACAACTTGAAAGAATAAAAATTGTGTCAAGGGTTCACATCACTCAATGATTGTAGAATCCCCTTCCACACAGGTGTCATCTCCTGATACTTCCAAGTCGACCTGGCACGATCTATTCCCAAATATGCATTGACACGCCTCTCAAGAGAAATTCTGTGCAATTCATTGTTGTCTGGTAAATCTTGCCAGGTTCTCACCTCTTCAGAAAGCTGCGAGTACAATGTCTCCGCGGTGGCGAGGACAAGGACGGGGCAGAAGGAGGGCACATCCAGCAGCAGGGAGAGGAAGGTGCTCTTCAGCGTGTCGCTCACAGTCTCCCACCACTCTGAGATGTGCGGGACAAACACCACGCTGGGGACGCTGCGGCAGGCCTCGCGGAAAACCTGAAAAGTTAGGTGAAATAAATATGGATTTAACATGGAATTTTCTTGCTCGGGCGTGCGTTACCTGAGCACAGGATTCCTCTGGCGTCTTGGCGGTGGTGGAGTATAGGGTGGGCAAGTCCAGGCGGTGCACTGGCAGCTTGTCCAGGTGGTGCAGCAAGGCAGGGGCCAGGTGGGAACTCTGACCCGAGCCCGGGGATCCAGCCAGGAGCAGACGGGGCCGGTAGGCTGTGGGTTGCTGGTGGGGGGAACTGCAAGGAGTCAAAACCACTTTCATCAATTGGGGCTGTTAAGGGGAAGATCGTTATGAACGGGTAGATGGCACTCTTCGAAAATCACCGCTGTCCATTGAGACAAATGCATACAGTCAACCCCTGCTATTGGTGGGGTGAAGGAAGGCATCCTGGCACGAACAGTGGAAAAAAAAATGGGTGGATGTTTTGTCTGTTCAACTTGGGACTCACAAAGAGCAATGGATCAAGGGCCTGCGCATGGTGGGGTCTGAGGATGCCGAGGGACTGATGGGGCACACGGCAGGCTGAACTTCGTAGATGGAAGTGGCATTGTCGTCGTCATCGTCGTCGCTGTACGCATCCTCTTCGAGGAGTTGATTGTCACCGCCCACTACACATAAAAATAAATACATTAAAAAATAGAATGGCCTAACTGGTCTGTTTGCATAATTTTTTTTTTTTTTTTTAAAATTTAATGGCAAAAACCTGCCTACCTTGCATGTCCCTGTCGGCACACTGAGCATGAGGGAAGACTCTACGGAGAGCAGTGAGCACCAAAGAGAAGGCACCGGCCAGCAGGGGCCTGAGGACGGGCGACAGTGCTCGCCCTGGGGGAGCCAGGGCCCTCTGCGAGGCCGGCACGATAGCCCTCATGGCCCGACAGAAGTCAGTAGGCCCCAGCACAATGGAGGCCACGTCCAGCTTTAGCTTGACACTGCTGCCGTAGATCTGGGGGTAGCGGCGGCGCGGGGGCCCCAACACACGCGCATGGCACTCTTCGAAAATCACCGCTGTCCATTGAGACAAATGCATACAGTCAACCCCTGCTATTGGTGGGGTGAAGGAAGGCATCCTGGCACGAACAGTGGAAAAAAAAATGGGTGGATGTTTTGTCTGTTCAACTTGGGACTCACAAAGAGCAATGGATCAAGGGCCTGCGCATGGTGGGGTCTGAGGATGCCGAGGGACTGATGGGGCACACGGCAGGCTGAACTTCGTAGATGGAAGTGGCATTGTCGTCGTCATCGTCGTCGCTGTACGCATCCTCTTCGAGGAGTTGATTGTCACCGCCCACTACACATAAAAATAAATACATTAAAAAATAGAATGGCCTAACTGGTCTGTTTGCATAATTTTTTTTTTTTTTTTTAAATGTTAATGGCAAAAACCTGCCTACCTTGCATGTCCCTGTCGGCACACTGAGCATGAGGGAAGACTCTACGGAGAGCAGTGAGCACCAAAGAGAAGGCACCGGCCAGCAGGGGCCTGAGGACGGGCGACAGTGCTCGCCCTGGGGGAGCCAGGGCCCTCTGCGAGGCCGGCACGATAGCCCTCATGGCCCGACAGAAGTCAGTAGGCCCCAGCACAATGGAGGCCACGTCCAGCTTTAGCTTGACACTGCTGCCGTAGATCTGGGGGTAGCGGCGGCGCAGTGCCACCAACGCCGCCTCAGTGCAAAGTGCTTTGATGTCGGCGCCACAGTAACCTGCAACGGGAATAAACTATTTCATAATTGTTCTGATACTGACAATAATTATTCCCCAAAAAAGTTTAGAGGTCTTTTGTGTTTTTTTTCTATGGTGCCACCTTTAACACTTTAAAAGGGGATTAGGCTGATATAACATGGAGATTTGCATTATGTGGTGACAAAAGCCAAAAAGCAGTGCACTTGTTAATTGAAAACATTAACAGTCCGCTCCTTTTGCCGCTTGTAGGACACTTAAAACATTCCCTGCATAGATAAATTTGATCATCCATGGAAGAGTGGAATTTTTTTTTCTATATTATTTTCGATGGTGAAGGAAGAGATTACATGAATGATTTTAGGGGGTTTCTTACCGACACATTTTTCTGCTAGTTCATCTACAAATGGCTCAGACAATTTGGGGCTCCAGTCCCGTGTGTGGATCTGCAAGATGTGCTTTCTGGCCTTCACAAAAGATTAAAAAAAAAATTAAAAAAAAAAGAATTAGATCAAATACATACCTTCAAGTAACACCACCATGACTACTTAATCTGAATGAAACACATGAAAGACACACTTTTGAAATCTGATTATAAGGATGCAACTCACATGAGCGACTTGAGCCTGCCAGCGACCTGGTAATACGTGTACATTTCAACATCCTCTTGCAGTAATAAGATAAAATATTCCCTTTGGTGTTTAACCTCATAATGCCTTGTCCTCCTGCACTGTTAAAATGTTTGTCCATTTGGTTGTGCCTCTCTGATCTATTTTTCATGTGGCCAGGTGTAAGGATAGGTGTTTGGCACCTTCTTGGGAGAATATATCATGAGTATGCAAAACATTTTTTTTAAAGCTACAAGCAGTGGTTACATAAGATTTTTCAGGTATTCTCTGTATATTTTTTGCCACAACAAAGGCAATGAGGAATAAGTACAAAGCAAAGCGAGAAGCGAAATGTCTTTGGTAGCCATCAGTAGTTAAGAAGAGGTGGCTGGTATGTTGAGTAAGACGACCAGGATTTAAAAAAAAAAAAAAAAAAAAAAAAAAACAAACGCAACAATGACAGTTTCATCACACGTGAAACACTCAGAGGATTGCTCAAGCTCTTATTTAACAGCCAACAGCGGCACCAGGATCGGAGGTTAGCTACGCCGCTGCCAAAGTGAGCCCCTTGCGTCACCCGCGGAGCACTCCACTTTGATGGGCAGACATCAAGAAGCAAAGTACTCGCTATTGTGAACATGAGGCTTTTCATCATCTTTCATCACACTGGATTGGGGGGGGCCCAACTTGGCCAAGGTTTCAGCATTGTGCGATTCAGGCGGCTGAACTGATTTTCAAAATGTCCACAAGGCCCTTTATTTGCTCGAGAGCCTTGTTTAAAAAGTTGTTACAAGCTCGCTGGCGTAACAGTCTGCAATGTTAAGATCGGGGATCACCAATCTTGATTCTTGAGAGCATGAGAGAGGAATGTTAAAAAAAATGTACAGGAAATCACGTCTTGATTTTTTTTAAACAAATTATTTCTGAAAATGGGTGGCCAGTAAGTACTGGGCAGCTAGCAAATGGGCAGCCAGCAAATGTTACTTTTAATACTTTGTAGTGTAGCCTCGGTTGGCAATGTTTTGCTTTTTGGTGTCGTTTTCTTGTCAAATCTAAATAACTGTGCAAGATTAAATATGACTAAAATGATCTCAACTCTGCAAGTAGCGCCGGGCCTTAGTTCAATGTTGTGCTGTGACTGGTCAGCCCATGACTCATTCACAAGAAACACGCCCTTCAAAACAGACAAATTTCTGCGAGGCTCAAAACAGAGTATGTAAAATGAATAAAAGAAATGTAAATTTCTTGATCCACAGGATATTTTGACAAAAACATGTCACCGACATGTTTAATTAAGATACATGGGTTGGACGTATTTTAAATTGAGTGAAAACATGGACACTATGTTTCCTTTTAAGGATGAGAGGACACCCAGTGCAAAAACGCAAGAGCGATTCTTAATCACCCGATGCCTCCATTTGTCCTTTTATTGCCCTTATTAATTACTTACTGTTGTGAAGTGGTTGCCACCAGAGAGATGAAGACATTTTCAGCAGGTTATAACTGGCATCAAATTCCAACTCTTTTTGCAAACAGCATCTCTCACCGTCCTGTCGGGCAGGTTGAACAGAAACTCCCGATCGAAACGGCCAGGCCTCCGCAGTGCCGGGTCGATCGAGTCAAGTCTGTTGGTAGCACCAATGACCACTATCTCCCCGCGGCTGTCCAGGCCATCCATCAAGGCCAACAGAGTGGACACAATGGAACTTTAAAACAAATAAATTATGCAAAGGCTGGATTTACACTGCAGTTCCACATTCATTTTTTACATATACAGTAATCCCTCGTTTATCGCGGTTAATGGGGACCAAAACCACCCGCGATAAATTAACATAAACAGGAAAAAATATTTTTTTTTTCAGTCCGCAAAAAGTCCGCAAATGGTCCACGAGAAGCTGCAAAACAACAGCGAGTCACATAGAGCAACTTAATATGTACATAGATAGTTTTGTTTGTACACTTATGACTATGGGTGGGTAATAAAGCTTCAATACTATATCATATTGCCAATAACTCGTGTATAGTGGGCAGCGACTGCCAAAGTTTCACTTTTGATTTCTGTCAAGACATCCCAATAATGTCGTTTTACCTGTGAATCTGGTCTTGCCTACTGGAGCGAACCGGAGCCAATCCATCAATCTCGTCAAAGAAGATAATGGACGGCCTCATCATGTACGCCTTATCAGAAGTAATCATAAACAACATTTAAGATCCTCAACTCTCTATTATGTAATAATAATTATTATTATATAATAATTAACAAAATGTGACTTGCCTGGTCAAAGAGGAGGCGCAGCTGGCGCTCCGATTCGCCAACCCACTTGCTGAGGCAGTCGGCCCCTTTGCGCATAAAGAAGGAAACCTTGCGCTCACCCTGGCTGCACTCGTTGGCCAGCGCCCGGGCCACCAATGTTTTTCCAGTCCCTGGCGGCCCGTAAAATAAACACCCCCTGTGGAGAGGACATTATTCGGCAGAGCATTATTATGGAAAATCTCAAATGTGACCATTTTCTAAGATATTTGGAGAAATTAAGTTTTGGAAATAGTCATATTTTCAGACAGTTAGTAATTTCTTAACTTTACCTCTGGATAAATAATGCAGTTATCTTCCTGTAAATACACTGTAGGACAACACAAATTTACGGCAAGACTTCAACTGACCGTGGAGGTTGAATCTTGAATCTCTCAAAGACCTCCGGATAGAGAAGCGGGAACACCACCATCTCCTTCAAGGACTGAATGTGATTCCCGAGGCCACCCACTTGGTCGAATCGCACCTGAAAATAAGGGCCTGACTTTTACAAGATGATAACCACCGGGAACAAAGCACTCTCATGTGGGACATGATTTGTCTCACTGAGGTGTCGAGGTTCATGGGGTCCACATCAGCCAGGCTGGCCCCCACTTTGGTCCTATCACGCAGGACCCCACTCGCCAGGTCCTCCGCTGTCAAGTTCATGGGCAAACATCTGCAAGATAGACAAGGGCAGTAGTCGGGGGGAGTTTTAATTTTTCTGACAATTAATTAAACATGCCTCGGGTCAAAATTACCCTAAACTATAGGGTCAATGGAACTAATAAAATCTATAAACAATGTTCATTAGATACTTAAATGCCCACAGAATATTGTGTTCTGTGACAATTTAAACACAAAATATACAGTGAAAAATGAGGGGAAAAAATGCATCTCATCACCTGTTTCTGGCCCGAGTCATGCTTTTGCTTTTCCTTCTCTCAAAGCACTCCTCATCAGAGGACGAGGTTGTGTCACTGCTGTGGATGGCATGTTTCTTTATCCTAATTTAAAAGAAAAAAAAAAAGTAAGACATTTTTTTTAAATAAGTGAACAAAATCATTAATTTTGCACTACTCACCGTATATGGCTTCTCCTTGCTGGTGATCTGTGAGTGTCAAAAAGTGTGGGGTTGCTTTGCTTCCGGTTCACTGGCTCTGAGGACATGAAAAGATATTACCAGTTGCCACTTGCCGTGGAAAGGAAAAAAAAAAAAAAAAAAGACATGAAAAGCACGTCGGTTACCAATCGGGGGAGCCTCGTATCTCTGCACAGTCTTGCGCTGTCTCAAGTTGTACGGCCTGTCGTTCCCCTCCCCTGCTTCCTCTGCTTCATCCCCTTCGTCGTCTTCATCCTCGGCATCCTCCTCCTCTTCCTCCCCATGAGATTCTGCACGTTTTCAAACATTTTCCCGCCGTGATTCGCCTGAGACAAAGAGCTGCCCACGCGAGTCAGCAACTCACCTTCCGTGCCCTCCTCCTCTTCCTCCTGCGTTTTACTCAAGGCTTTGTGATGCGCAGGCAGGCTGAACGTGTTGCGGCGCATCGACTTCCTCCGCTTCACCCGAGAGTACATGTCCATGTTTTCCTGAAAGAAAATCAGATCACAGTGAGCAAGTGTTTGTTGTGGAACTTCAGGGGGAAAAGGCTGGCTTTTCTTCCCGGTACCTCCTCTGTGTCTCTGGTCCACATACGGAGGCGCTCCACTTCGCGGTTCTGCCTGATGCTGCTGATGTTGTCCATCTCCTGAAGGACGGCCTCAGCGGTGCTAGATAATGATCCGATAGATTGAAGGCTAGTACGAGGGGGATGCTTGGAGGCGTTAAGACAAAAAAACGCCTTTAGGCACTTGTGAATTGGAAGGCTTCAAAGTAGCTTGGACCAAAATGTTGGAAGTTAGTCAAAAAAATAAAATTGTTCGACAGGATTGATATCAGTCTAGCTCTAGTTATCAGTCCAGTTTTGTTGCTATCGCTCCAATTAACATTCATTTTTTCTGTCAGTCCAATATACCTGTCCGCTATCGTGTATCCCCAAATAAATGAGTTTTAAAAAATCCTGCCATTTTGCATTTTACAGTACCTACTTGCTATTTCCACTAGCAAACCCAAGTGCTATTTCTAGGAGCTGGTCAGTTTGGGTTCCGAGTGTGCCAAACCGATAACACTGTAGGTTGACTCATTTGTAATTCTTCAACATACAGGCAGAAATTCACAACATTAAAACCTAGAGGAAAGCTTTCAATGTTGCATGGTTCCACCGTTTCCTCCACCGTGCAATTAAACAGTAAAAGACTGGCCGCTTCAAACTGTGACGAGTAATACCAAGCCTGCACAGTGCAATTCTATGTCTGGATTTGGACGTGGGGTGGTATAGCGCCTGCCTGCTCACCTGTTGACCAGCTGGTCAAACAGCAGGCTCTGGTTGAGGTGTTCAAACTGGCTCTTCCTCAGCTCCACGTGACCGTTCATGCGTGAGTGGTCACCCTGGCCCAACTCCTCTTTTCGATGGCCCATATGGCCTGCGGCATAAACGTAAATAAATAAATTAAATAAGGAATTCAATCTGTGTCGTAATTTCTTGAGGTTTAGCGCCCTGTATAACATTACCGTGCCCATTTTGCATGATACGCGATGACAACCTAGAAGTGAAAAACACAGGATTTGATTTCAGGTTGGCTGCACTAATTTTATGGTACACAACTCGCAAAACGTTAGGGACATTGTGCTTTTGGGTGGAATTTCAGGATGAAAAGAAAATACACTAGAACCTTTACAGGTGAACTTAATTTAACTTCTAAACCTTTGAATGAAGCAGTTCTGTACGTTCTACATAACTTACTGTCATCTGCTAAAGAGCTGAACGGCATCATTCACAAATCACAACAGGTGTTTGATCCATGAGCCAATACAGTTCCTTGTTCAAAATAAATGAATATTGAAACAGTCCTTTTCATCAGCATTAAATTGGGTTCTTCCGTGAAGATTCGTTTCACCCTGAAATTTCACCGTAAATACGATGATCACCCAAGACAACATTTAGCAAGCCGACCTGGTGCGGTAGGTGGGAATGTCCCAGCTAACCCTCTGGCCTTTGGTCTGGGGTGAGGGGGACGTGTCGCTAGAACTGGGTTCCGACGTCATCTGCCTGTGGGGCCGCTTCGCAGGCGGGCTGAGCTGTGCACTGCTCACATCACTGCTCATCTCCTTCTGGTCCAGCAAAAAATGACGGTAAAACAGGACCATTGCTTGTGAGCAAACGACTCTCGTCTCAAGTTTAAAGAGTACCTTCATTGTGCAATGCATCATTGGGTAACGGAGAGCAGAAACTGTGCTGTTTTTGAACATTGAAGAGAGCACTGTTTAAAATTAGTTCAACTCCACTTTTCCTCACCAACATAACAGTACATGGTGTGGTGCAGACTATGTCCACAATATGCTTTCTTTTTTCTGTCCTTTTTCTCAGGATTACCCCCCAGACGTTTCTATATTTTGGAATTTTTGTCATTAATTTTGACTGCCGTTTTTTTCAGGCAGCATTGTAATTCGATTCTTACAATAAAGCCATTTTATGTTCGTATGGTCAAGAGTAACCTATCCTATAGGTGTGTAAAAGGTTGTGTACTCGCACCTTTCTTCCAAGTGCTTCTGGGAAATGTCACTCAGACATGAAAGTTTCGAAACAAAACAGTATCTGACGAGGCCCGATGTCTGTCTACACATATGTATGTCGCTCTTTCTTTAGGATGTTTTGTTGACAGAGCTGAAGATAAAGTTTTGTACCAGTAATAGATTTTTTTCCATTCTCTCTCCACCCTTTTCTGTTACTCTCTCTTGAAGATGTGATAACTCAGGAAATGTGATTTGCTATTGCAGTTTTTTTCCCCCATTGTTCTGTCTCTCTTGCGTGTGTGTGGTTTTTTTTGGTCTCTTTCCCTTTATGTCTGTACAGCATGTCTCTGTAAAGTGCCAAGTAAATTGTGACACAAAAAAGGCTGCTGTCAGTCGAGCTTTAACGTCACACAAAGGAACTAAAGCTCCACCGCATTCTATTGCTCAAATTTACCAGCACAAACTAAAAAGCGTTTGTTGTCTAATAAAAGGTAACGCATAGTATTAACGCCGTAAAGTTCACCAAGTTCAGACTTGCCTTATAGAGAACGTGAGCCAGTCAACTGTTGTGAACCCTTCCCCCACAACAAGGCTACACCGTTGGGCTAGCCTTAGCTCCAGCCCCAGTCGAGCTTTAACCCACTCAAAAAAGTGTGAAATACTTCCACGAAGTGGACACACGTTTGCTGTGATAGCTTTCTGTCAGACGCCGTGGTGGGCTTCACCTGAGGGGGCTTAAAACAAGCTGGCGAACGCGAGGCGAGTCGCCCAGCTCCAACTGCCAAACACAAAGAGAACTCAACTTGAAGCTAGCAGCTAACGCGGCTAGCCTCCGCTTTGAACGCTTTTAATGCTGCTCGTCGTAAATGACAAGACATACGAAGCCCAGTATTAAGGTGTTCGGTTGTGTGCGAGCGTGGCCCGACGGGTGTCAAGCCTGGTGGCGTTGTCATTTCACTGGGGGACGATGCCCCCCGAAGTGTGAGCATCTCCTTCCAAGGCCAAGGCTACAGCTACGATTAGCGGCAGCTGTGTTAGCACACCGGGGGGGAAAAAAGAGGAAATTAGCTTACATGCTCGTCTGTGTTCCGCTCGCTCCTCGACGACGAGCGGGTCCTGGAGGAGATAAAGTGGCCACTGCCCGGCCGCGAGCTTTTCCGTGTGTTCACCATGTTTAATCTCACTCAAAGGGCTCCAAAACCGGCTCCAAACACTGGCTCAAAGAGCACAGCACCGAGACGCCATTCCTCTCTCTCTCTCTCTCACTCGCTCTCGCTCTTCCTCGCTCTCTCTCCCCCTCGCTCTCTCTCCCTCTTGTGTTGGTTCTCGATCTCTCTTCCCTTGTTTCTGTCCGTACACCGTGTTTCTCTTTGTGATGTCAAGTGGTTACGTTTGGAAGTTGTGTAATTATTATGGCCCCTGTATAGTGGAAAAAAAGTGTAAACTAGACAAAACACAGAGCAGTGGCGTGCAAAGGAAGGGCAGGATCCACCTGAGGTCCCCCCCTTCCAACTAAAAATTCCATGTAGCATCCGCAATGAAGAGGACACACAAGGAGATGTCTATTTATCGAAACCAAGCTTCAAATACTTCGAGCCCATCGGTGTCAAACTCAGGTCCTGGAGGGCCGCTGTCCTGCATGTTTTCCAAGTCTTCCTGTTGCAACACACCTGATTAAAATGATCAGATCATCAGCAAGCTCTACGGAAGCCTGACATTGAACCTGTTCATTTGAATGAGGTGTGTTGCAACGGGGAGACTTGCAAAACATGCAGGACAGCGGCCCTCCAGAATCTAGCCTAAGACCCCCCCACCCTTCCCTTGATCAAGACTGATCAAGTGTATAAGGGGCACCATAAGCATGCATTCGCTTCTTGTCATTTGTTGTGAACAATGCTGCCAAATTGGAATGATTAAAAATTCAGCAAATATGTAAGACGATGTTTCAAAATCATGAAATATTTCTGTGGGTGTTTCCATTGAATCCCGGTGAATGAACACTGCTCAACTTTCAATGAAGCACCACTTTTATAACCCGGAATTCATTTAATTTGAACATGTGCAGTGGTTGCACATAATTAAAATGTGGTAACCATTGTGTATTTTTGTTATTTTTAATTCCCAGGCATGTCACAGCAGAAGAGGGTAGTGGCTGACTTTTTCAAGCCGCAACTCAAGAAGTTTTATCATGGTTTAACATTAAACAGATTTCTTTCATTGTTTTTTTTACTTTGTTTTGTGTCTTTTGTCGTCTCCCTTTGTGGACATTATGTCTCTCTTTTGGACAATGTGGTCATAACTCTCGTTCGGATGATGTCAATTGAAGATTCAGTTTTGTAATTATTTACTATTTATTCTTACAGGCAATTGCTTTTTCCCCCATACCTGGGTATTATTATTATTATTATTATTATTATTATTATTATTATTATTATTATTATTATTATATGTTGTGTTATCTATCAACCGTCATAACCAGATTTTTTACTTTTTTCAAACAATTATATGATACAAATGTTTGCTTCATCTCCGGGAATAATTTTTTTTATGAGGTATGAACAATCGAACAGAAACGAAACTTATTACGACACTAACCGCCAATTTATGGTGGGGGTGTTGACGTCAGAGAGCTGCTGCCGTAAACCGGTGTAGTAGCTCGCTGCAGATGTTTTAGCCGCAGATTAGTCCTTATAACACAGAGACCGGTAAATTATTCATTTACCTAAATTACCTCATTTTGAATCTTGTTTTGTTAATCTTCGTAAAATCATTACAGTGCTAGGTTAATTTTGTTACGTCACTCGCGCTCACAATCGTTTTTAATGATGGCCGACGACGGTTGTCAATAATAACATTACACTTTTAGAAATATTCATCGTTGAGTAGTGTTAAATTGAGAAAAACACACAAGATAAATTATGCCCTGAATTACTCAAATGTTTTGTAAATTGCCTTCTATGAAATGTGCTTGCCTTGCATGACTTGTTTTTGTTTTCAGATGGACAAGACGACATGATACACAATGACACTGAGAATGATGACATTTGGTAAGGAGAATGCTTGCTCTCGTGAAATTACAACACAATAAAATAGAGCACCAGTCCAAAGTGTGAAAACTCTTTCTTATACTGTTGAGTGTAAACGTGCCTTAAAGTGATACCTTATGTGTCCAACATATCACACAATAATGTCCCTAAAGTGTAAGAATACTTTTTTTTTTTCCAAAATAAAATATTGTGCTGAACAGGGTTGCCAGCGATGACAACGAAGAGGAGGCGCCGATGAAGTGCAGCTTCTCTGTAGAAGACCTCCTGGACGAGGTGGAGAAGATCTGTAATGATACCTCGGGAACGTCCAAGGTCAGGAATGAATGAATTAAGTAATTATTGAATATGTATTCAATATAATCATGCAGCGATTAAGGACTACACACATATCAAGAATAATTGAGTTCTTTCTGAAAAAATATGACAACATGCTGGTAAGATTGGAACTTTTTGCACTATGTCGTAAAATGATTACTTAATTTTCATATCTTTACCCTGGTACTGCAATGCTTTTTCTTCATTTTTTACCAGGTGGAGATGGTGGTGCGCCTCTGGAAGGACGGCTTCACCATTAACGACCAGGAGTTCCGTAGCTATTCGGTCCCTGCAAACCAGGACTTCTTGGATGCCATCAAAAGGGGGTGAGTTTTATTTTTAGCTCAATATGTAACGATAGCCTCAAGTGAATATTATCATCAGTGTCGCGATTTTTAATGCAGGGAACTTCCGTCGGAGTGGGAGAGCCGAGCAGAGGAGGAGGAACTGGAGGTCAACGTGGAGGATTTGACCGAGGAAGAGTACGTTCCCAGGAAGAAGGTTTTTCATCCTTTCAGCGGGCGAGGATACCGGCTCGGCAGGTGAGTGGGGTCTTGACCGAAAATAGTGAGATTGCAGGAAATAATAATTCAGATTGCCGACAGCCTTGTGGTCACTTTTAGTTGTACTGGATTTGATTTGATGTGGATTTTTATTGAAATACTTTCAGTCAGGTTTGATCACGGTCCCCTGAAAACCTTTTTGAAAATAGTGCTATTAAATGAATGATACAGTTTGAAATATGAAAAACATAGTAGAATTCAGTTGTATTATTTTTTAATCTGAATAAGAATAAGCAGTTGCTATTCTACTGCCTGCCACAAGATGTCACTCAAATCCAAGCAACCAAAGCCGGTCATGGTGCCCCCCTGATGAGGTGCAAAACGGCTCTGGTTTAATTTTGTCCTCCGCCTGCCCTCATCATCGGTTATTAAAGATAAAGATTTAAACTGATGCATGCTTAATCTCTGGATTGTGTCGGTGCCGCAGCGTGGCGCCCCGAGTGGTGGCCCGCTCGCCATCGGTGCATGAGGACGGCGAATCTCCCCCCATCCCCATGGTAACCCTGGACCACGCCCTGCCCGTCACCTCTCTGCAGCTGTGGTTGGCCGACGGCCGCAGGCTGGTGCAGCGCTTCAACCTATCGCATCGGTGCGTAGTCACATCGCCAAACAAACAAAAAAAACAACAAAAAAACATGTTAATCTGCTTTCTATCTCCAAATGACGAAAAAGATTTCTGCTAGTTTGGATTACGTAATGCTGGTCTGGCGCGCAAATCATAATCTGAGATAGAGTGTGTCTATCAAATCCCACCGGGGGGGATGGGTTGCGTAACCCCCAATGCAACGTTTATGTAATGGGGGCGAGGAGCTCAAGGATGGAGAGAGCCTGCCGCTGACCTTGACCAGCCTCCTGTGTGAGCAGGAGACCACCGATGCTCATGAATAATGGAAATTCCCCCTTGCTTGAATGAGGAGAAAGCATCGAACGAGTCACCCCACCCCCCACCCCGTAAGAAATAATGCAACTAAAAATCCAAATTGTGCAGATTTACATTTGCCCTGCATTGGCCTCCAACATGTAACTGTTGCAACCTTTCACCCCTTAACTCCCGTCTTCCCCTGCTCAGGATCGGAGACGTCCACGACTTTGTATCACGCTGCCAGAGGAGCTGCCCGCCCTTCGTCCTGACCACGTCGCTTCCCGTGCGGGAACTCCTCGACAAAGAGCTGAGCCTCGAAGCAGCGGACTTGGCCAACGCTGTCATTGTTCAGCGGCCCCTCAACACGCATGCCCCCTTTGCGCCATAATCCACCTGTCCCTTTTCATCTTACATCCAAAAATGGCATAAAGCACCACCAAAACAAAAACAAAAAAAAGTCTTCCTAAACTGTGATCGACAATTTTATGCACTCTTTCAAAGCCGACACTGCTTGCATGTCGAGGTTTGTTTGCCTTGGTTTTTTTTTTGTTTGTTTTTTTACATCGACTCATTTTTGAATGTATCATGTTATGTGCCTGCATCATTTCCAATTCAATTACATGTATTAAAAAAAACTAAGGTTCTTTTGCATATATTTCTTTATTTTCCCCTCCCAAGCAACATTCTACCATTTACTTCTTTTCTCATAGCATTGATTTAGTTCAGAAATAGAGCAAAGTATAATTAGCACAATAATTTGTCACATGGTAGTAGGCAGTACTCGTCCCTAAAAGGTGATCTCCATGCCATGATACCACTAACAAAGCAGAATGCCGAATGCTTCATACGTCGCGGTACTGCCGGAATAAAAAAATGATGTGGGAAAAATGTGGCCAGTTTCTTCTCACAAGGCACACGCCTCGCGGAGGCTGAATCACTGCCTCTGACATGAAGCCAAACCTCATTGGTAGCATTCCACCTGCCGCTACTTAATTACAGGTATCAGGTACCACTGACGTGAGCCAGAATGTTGGCGTCTGTGGATTGTCTGGCCGCATCAATGCTGGATTCTCAAACACAGGTAGGGAGGGAATTTATACTGTGTCATGTATGCCTGGCGTTATTTAGTAGCTAGTATTTTGAAAGGGGGTTTTTGGACTTCCGGGCTTCCATCTTGTGCAAGCGGCTCCGTGGAAATGTGATTGTCATGTTGAGAGCCATCAGGGACGGCTGCTGGTTCCAACTGGTTCCATTGATGCTTCACCATGAATCACACAAGGAGGTTAAAGGGAGGTTAACATGACATACACCACAAAATAGGGCTGTGTACTAAGTTCATCCAAGTTAGCAGCTCTTCTATCAAACTGAAATTTCAGTAAAAAATTGCTGATTTACGTTTTTAATTATTCTATAGTCTACTTTCCATATCAAGCAAATGTGTGTCAAAAACGGATGCTGCTTCAAATTCAAACCGAATCAATATTTATTAGATCACATACACAGTTGTAAAAAGTATAATGCATAGTGAATTGGCTGGAACAATATTGAAATGATTATTTCAACGCTATATTTTTTTAGTGTGCGTGCGTGCGTGCGAATGTATGAATGAGTGTTGCAGTACACCATGACGGTCGCGCGGGGTCGCCTCAGCAATGTACCGACAGTTGACTGTTTCTTTTTTACGCCCCCCCTCCGCGAACCCACACACACACACACACATACACACTCATACACACTCATACACTCATACACACACTCGTGTCTCTTCGTCCGTGTGTGGTTCTTGTCCGCAGTCTCCTTCTCATCCCGCCCGGCCGCCGACACTGCGCTCCCGGCGCACACTCCCATCAACCCGCCGCTGTACGGAGCTCTCCTCTTTTCCACTAACAGCAGGTAAGACAACATATGAGCCTAGTGTTTATTCACATCTTATTTTGGGGAGGATATATTGCGTGTTTTATATAAAATGTATACATTATTAATGTATATTGCCAGAAATAGTAACACACGGGATGAGCGTTGCATGCCGTTTGCACTCAGCGGACAAAGCACTAGGTACACTTCATTCACAAACTAGTGAGGAAATTATACTTAAAAATATAATGAGCATCAATTAGACTGTTTATTATGATCAGCCATCTTTTTAATATTTTTGGTCATTTAGCTACATTGTGGTATTAAAATGCTTATCAGATCATCCGCCAATACACATTTCTTATTATTGTCCTTTTCTGAGGAGAAAACTAGTCATCTTCATGTTACCATAATATGCCATATTAAAAGTGTTGTGTTTTGTTGCATTTAAATGCACAGGAATCTGAGGAGGTGATCCATTTCTTTTAATGAGCTCATCGACAGGACAGGAATGTGTTTGTTGTCGTTACGGTTTCCATCCGAGCTAAATAAGACCAAAATACCATAAATTGATATTATATTACCACATATACAGATGTTGAGAATATAATAAAACTACCAATGTACAAAGAAAAACAAAATCAGCATTGAGTAGTTATATCTCAAATCAACTTTGATAATCTCTTTCTCTCGCTCTCTCTCTCTCTCTCTCTCTTATATATATATATATGTGTGTGTGTGTGTATAGAGGTATATATATATATATATATATATATATATATATATATATATATATTTTTTTTTTTTTTTTCCTTTATTTTTTGGAAAATGTGTATGTAATATAATATTGTCAAATTCATACCAAATACCAAAAAACACCATTATTATCTTTACAAAGGCAGATGTAAGGATGATATGTACCTAATAAAGTCAGTGGTTTGTGTTGACCATTTAAGTGTGTGGTAGTGTGTATTCCATTTTGGAATTCGGTGCACAGATGTGCGTCAGCATTCCTGAGCTTGCATGTTGTGCACACTTGTTATTGACTATATGTCTATGTCTATTTTGTGTTTTGTCTGTGTGTGTGTGTGTGTGTGTGTGTGTGTGTGTGTGTGTGTGTGTGTGTGTGTGTCGTCCCCCGGTCTGGCCTCCCCGTTCCAGTGCACAGCATTATGTGAATGGCGGCAGAAAGCGTCCGAGTTGTCCAGGAGGAGCAGGAGGAGGAAGAGGAAGAGGCGGCGCAGTCAGATCTCCCGCCACGCAGTCAGAGCCACATTCAATTCCCGCCCCGCCTTTTGGCGCACACCCGCAGCCTCAGCCACACGCACTTTGGCGCGGCCTCACAGAAAAAGCGCACCTGCCGCCTCACCCACAGCCTCTCTGCCATGGCCCGCGGGGAGAATGGCACCCAGGGGGGGCTGGTTACAGCAGGAAAGATGCTCAAGCCCACTGAGACGCTGTTAGATGCCAAAGTCCCTCAGCAGGTAAGACCAAACACACATAATATACAACTCCCCTACCCCCCACACCCCACCCCCCAAAAAATCCATGACCTACAAAGAATTGGTTGGTGATATTAGTGTTGACACATGTGCTGAGCGATGCAGTTTTTCTTTTCTCGTGAATAACATGAGGCGGGACATCCTGTTTATCCCCTTTGATGCTGGTGGGAGAGTTGAGAAGGAAGGAATAATAAAGACTTTGGAAAAGATTGATAGAAAAGTTCACGGCATATTTTTGCACATCATCAGTGGCGTGGAGCCAGCAAAAACACTTTGATTTCCTCTCCAATTAGCTGTAATTGCAGCGAGAGCCTCAGCCTTTACTTACCTCTGACCCCACTAGTCTTGCGATGGAATAATTACACGCCTCCGTCCTGGTAATTGTCGCTCCTTCATGTTTTGACAGGGCGGCGGTAATAACAGCATCTCACTCTGAGATGTGGTCGCTTTGGTGTTTTTTGGGGCTTTGAATCGCACGGTTGCTTTTATTCAGCACTTAAAGTTGGCCTCAATTTCAACGGTCGACTGGAAACGATGCATTGTTAGCATAATCACCGGTTCAACAATGGAAAATCAAAGCCTTGTGACTCTTCCGTAAAAATGTTTCGCCGCATCGCTTTCGACCTGACACCATTATTGTTTCAGTCTTTACGCTCATCTGCCGAAATGCAACATTGTCATATGCACACGAAATATATCAACATGGAAAAGAGAGACCAAAACAACGGTTTCAAAAATGATCGCGTTTGCCTAAACAACATACTCAGTCACTCTCAATCTGCAAAAATGAAAGCCCTTCACATTTTTGACAATATCACAAAATAATGACTCCTCATTACGAACCGAACCGTTGAATACAAAAAAAGATCATGCGCATGATTGTGCCTCTCGTAACCACACAGAGGCATCTTTGGATTCGTTACTCATCATTTCATCACTGATTTTCTGGGAATTCTAAGTTGGGGGTGTCGAGAAAAAAAAAAAAATCACCATTCATTATTCAAAGTGACGCATGGTGGAAGTATTGTTGAAAATAGAAACCCAGGAGGAAGGAAATTGCATCAAACTTGACTTGAAATGTTAAAGTTAAATGAATGACTAATTGTGACTCCTAAAATTAGTGTACAAAGGTTTGGGACATTGTCACTCGTAATCATTACGAATTGTTTTGTAATGTCAACTAATCTAAGGGTAGCCTTGGACTTAAGCGCAGCGTGTACTAATCATAGGGAGCAAAGTGGAACGTTTACTGTTCCCTGAATGCCTTCTTCTAACAAAAAATAAAAATAAACAGAGCAAACAGAATAAATCAATAAACACTTCACCGCCTTGTTATTTACATGGTGACTTTCCACACCCTCATCATTTTTACTTCTGCAACCTCAGCCCGACCTGAACAGCCCGACACTTTTAAACCTTTAAATACGGATGCTGGGCACTTGCTGGTGAAACCAAATTTCCCAAATCAGAGGCACGCTCGCCTCCCAAAAGTCTGCTTGCCATTTTTTCCCTCCTCACAAATAGAATATGCTAATTGCACGCTCCTGTAGCGGACTGTATGTGACTGTAAACTTGTGAGGCCTCTCCAAACTGTGAAAAGTGGAAAGTAAATCCCTCAATCTGGATTGATTGGCATATTTGGTTGGCGATTTACCAAATTATCAAAAAATGTTAAAATTATTGACATTTTTTTTCTTCTCCCTTTCCTGGTTAGACCGACTTGAGTCAAAAGCTATCGGTGTGCAACAAGCTGTGTTTCGCCATCGGCGGCGTCCCCAAAGAGGTTGCCGCCAGCGCCACCGCCTTCTTCCTGCAGATTTACCTGCTGGACGTTGCCCAGGTGCGCCATAATAATGCCAGCGTAACATCTTTAAAATAGCCTTACCGTACCAATAAAAATGTCTGTCCCACACAGATCAACGCCTTCCAGGCCTCTATGGTGCTATTTATCGGAAAAGCCTGGGGAGCTGTGGTGGATCCTGTGGTGGGCTTCTTCATCAACAAGACCAAGTGGACCAGGATTGGTCGACTGATGCCTTGGTGAGCCCCTCCCGCACCCTCCGATCCATGGAACCTATGTTTGCATCACCACACACAAACAGGATGACTCCAAATAATTTGGGTCGTATAAATAATACTAAATATATAAAATCAGAAAAAAATAAGAATGTGGCAAGAATATAATTAAATCATTCATACTGCAAAGGAACAGCACCAACAGGAAGTCAAAAATTTAGTTGAAAATTCCAGCTGCTTTCTTGTGAGTTGTTTTTTTTTTGGGGGGGGGGGCGTCAACAAAAACCCTCCGCTTGTGGCTAATGGCATTTTAATTGTGCTTTTCCCGACGCGCCCTGCACCGAGCTGCTGTGTTTACGTAACGCTTCATTTCAACTTTGGGCAACATCCACCACCACCACCGGAGCCTTTTTTTTTTTGGGCTCTTTGGCATCCTGGATTTCCTTGCGCCAAGCTTTTACTGCCGTGATGGACTTAAGAAGTGGGCTGTTCTGTGTAAAGCAGCTGATGTAAATACACAGACACACTTTAATGCTGCTTGTGCCTTGTGTATTGTCGATCACACACATATACTGTGTAAGCAGATCGGGTTTGGAAGACGTCCAAGTAAGAGCAGACTGAGGCCCAGTTTAACCACCTTGGCTGATTCTGGAGAATGTGGGCGAGTTTGTTTCTGGAGTCTGCTGCGGTTCACGCGGCATCTTTTGATACGCCGGGTTTGACGAGTTTGTCCTTATTTTGCCTCACTGGTTGACGGACATCTTGTCAGGCAGAAAGTGCATTTCCGCCCCATCTCGCTCGTCCTGTCAACCAGCAGCCGTAAATAGACAAACGAAACACAAAACAAGTGTAAAAAGGAATGAACCACTGTTTTTGGTGCGCCACCATGCAGCTATTTGCTTAATGCTAACAAACAACAGAAAATGCCATAGACAGGCGAACAAATAGTATCTATCGATGTGTCAGTATTGTGTTTTAAGGAACAGATACTTGAACACAAACGGTGCATCAACACATGTAGACAGACAGTTTAACAGTACTCACAGGCATATGTTCTTGATCCAATTTCATGGTTACTTCTGCCCGACTGTATTATACTTCCCCCTGGTGGCCAGGTTGTACACACCAGATGGACGAGTTAATCATCCTCCGCATTCAGTTGAATTATTTACATTCTAATTATGTTATTCCTGTGTGTTTTAAGTATAGTGTTAAAGTGTGCTATTTTTGCTGGAGTGACGAGGTTGGAATGGATGAATGGTATTTCTATTCCGTTAATGACGAAGTTTCTCAAAAGGCACCGCTGCGTTTGATTTGTTCCCATTCTTAGTTGTCATGAAGTCAACAACAAAGATTCTTTGAAATACCAAGAAGTAAAAGTTCTAAATGAGGTCTAGCCTCCAGTAGCACTTATGTTACCTTTAGATCCCCTCTGTTCCTTTGCGCCTCATCCAATTAACTCATTTTAAATAAGCCAAATGACAACCATGATTGTCTTCTTATCAGCTCGATGCCGTGCAGGTAGCGAGTCTTTTGTGCATCACCTTGCAGCACATTTTCCATTCACGCATTCCATGGACTCCCCATCCAACCCTTCTCGTCATCCCCTCCCTTAATAGTGCAGCACCAGCGTTGTACGTCATCTTTTGTTATTGCAAACAATCAGGAGGACAGCCGCGCAACGCAGCCGGACGCTACCAGAAACCACTCGGGCTCTCACTCTTCATTATTCCTGTTTGTGCTTCATTGGGTCAGAGGTTGTTTGTTGTTGTTGTTGATTTTTTTTGGGGGGTGGGGGTGGGGCACAGTCAAATACCGTCCCTTTTTCTGTCCTTTCAAAAATGTAGCTGGTCCCGGTTCATAAAATGGAAAAAATGTTTTAAAAAAATGTTTGCCACGAATGGGCTCAATGCAAATGTATGAGTTGGCTCAATGCAAATGTATGTATTATACAACAAGGTTTAAGCAGACGGCTTAATTTAACTTAGTAAAGTGACCCGATTCTGAGGTTACATAATGGCGTAAAGCAGACACAGTTTGATTGACAGCTGTGGTTCAAATGGCATCTCAAACCCCCCTACCCCTGTCCTGCAGGATGCTGGGCTGTACGCCGTTCCTGGTGGTGTCCTACTTCTACCTCTGGTACGTGCCCCCCTTCGCTACCGGGAGGTTCGTGTGGTACCTTGGCTTCTACTGCCTCTACCAGACCCTCATCACAGTGAGTACCATGCTCGCTACATGAACCATTTAGACCGCCACAAACGTATTGTACGTGTACCGTCCCAAACTGCAAACATTTTTTTGACAAGGGTAAAGAAAAAAAAGCGCAACTGTTGGGTAAAATGCCATCCCACTGGTCTTGTCACACAGACAAGGGTACCCCTTCACTGACAAGGGTGCCACCCCACTGACAGGCGTACTTTGATCCCAAATGCCATTTGCACTCCCATTCGCTGACGCAAACGTCACTCGCCACGTCAAGCTCCGCCTTTGAAAGCCACACGCATTCAGAGTCAGAAATACGACAGTGTAGAAGTTGAGAATTCCGACTCCGTGTGGACAAAAAAATAATACCTGCACCTCACATGCATAGTTTGTCGATGTTGTTATGAAATAATCTAAATCCATCACTATTCAATTAATCGATGCGACAATCGGCAGATAAAATACTGACAAGGGTACAACCCCCACTGACAAAATCACAACCCCGCTTTTGATGTCCCATTTTATACTCAACCACTCACGTGCAAATGTCAATTTTCAGTTGAAGGTGAAAGTTAATAGGAGGAGTAATCACATCTGGGAATCACCCTCGTCGTCAGACTTTCGAGCCCGCGGGCTTTTGGGGCGCTGCCCTTCCCCTCAAAGGGAAAGTGGAGCTATTCCTGGCGCCTTTTGTCATCACCCTCCATTCATCTCTGTTTGGCCTGTAATAGCATGCCGCGCTATCTAAGTATACAGTTGTAAAATATATACTGCTTCATGCTGTTTGCGGATCATCAGAATGAAATAGCATGCTGTGATGGATATAGTTTGAAATCAACAGGGCTCTTATGCTGACATTTAAAAATATAAAAGCGCCTATTGTAAGTCCAGAATAACTGATTGAGAATCAATTGAAAATGAACTGACCTTGATCCGACATCGTGTGTGTGTGTGTGTGTGTGTGTGTGGGGGGGGGG